ACATAACTGCAAGAGTTCTGGTAGTTCTATCTCCATCCTAATCAATATATATGTATATATATATATATATAATAAGCCAAAAGAATCGCAATCCTTATGAACGAAGATACCTGCTGAAGTAATTACCATGTTTTCACAGGTTCCCCAAGAATTAGGGCGTAACGTTAATGGTTATTCGACGCCAAATTCACTGCAACAACAAGCAAAGGTGCCTCTTTTATTTTCTGCGTCCTTATAGCCAGTTAGTATTTCAGAAAGATAAAACTATTAGTCTATAATTTCTGAATCTCAAACCTGGAATCGTTTTTCATTTCCAATTGGCCGAGTGTTTTGACTGAATTCCACTGTAGGTTTGCTGAACCAGCATTTATTCACACATGGTGATAGTTGAATGTTAAACTCTTAACTGCGAAAACGTGTCTCGCTTTCCTTTTTAGTTTTTACTTATCGATTCAATGGCTTTTTTAGAACTCCATAAATATGCAATTAAACGGCCACGGCTAAAACTAAATTTGCGCAGAGCAACCAATTTCATACATATGATCATACCAATATTGCTTATTTCAGCCACAATTCAATTGGGGAACCCTTTCCCCTTGTTTTCTGTTAGCTCCTAGGGTGATTATCAGTGCACAGCTTCCCATGAACATCGCGCCATCTATCATTCAATCAGCGGGACCATACTGACGATTTAAATTATTGAGATATACTGCGTGTACTAGCTTGTTTCCCAAATATTACAACTGATGTATCTGTTCGGATCTATATTGTCTTGTACAGTTGTTGGAAGACAATTTCTCTATTTTGTGATATTAACAATCTATAGAAACATTATTATATTATATAAGCAAGCGACATAAGCCAAATCAAATTAACGATCTAATTATGAGCATTATTTTGAGCATAAATAATTATTGACTAGGCAGCAAATAAAAGCTAATATCTTTTATTTATAATTTAATACTTAATTTAAGCAATTTAAGCAACAAGAACAAAGGCAAAAAGGATGGTATGGCTTCTTCCAGTTTGCAGCGTGTCTAAATAACAACTAGTGATAAAGCTATCAATATTTTATCCAGCTTAATTTATTTATTAGTTGATGCTGTCTTGGTAAATGCTCGTTAGATTAGCAAGGCATTGATAAGAAACGTTTGCACAGCCACGATGCTTGCAAGAATGAGAACCAACGAACTAGGAAATGGTAAACTCTGTTAAAGTGCATACCAGCATATTTAAAGCTATGCATCGTATTCTCTCATTCAACATGACAACTTCAGTAGTCTTTATGTGACTTCGGAGAGCTACCACGGTTTTTTTCATCATTAAAGGTATGTTCGCTGTTATTTTTATTCATACACTCAAAAAATGAATAAAATATTCAATATTGACGATTGTTGCACTTGAATCCTAATACGTGTGTTATTTATTTCAGGCCTCGAGTCCGTTGCACTGATTATAAACAAAAAACCAATGTCCCAGTATATATATATACTGGTATATGTGTGTGTGCCTGAGTATATATCGATGCGTATGTACAGGACTGCTCAAGGTGCTTTATCTACTGCAATTAGAAGCAATTCTGAAGAATAAGCTGAAGAGCTTTAAATAGTTTCTCAAGCTTATCCTATTTGTACCCTTGTAAAAGACACTGAACTGCTTTCTTGTAAAGTACTTGATAACTAGATTCACTTCATTTGTGTCATTATTTCTTCTACGGCACACAAGGCCAGCATTTTGCGTAGGTTTGACCAGCAACAGATCTCTGTGCTTTAACTTAATATAAAGCACAAATAAACAAGTATAGTCTGGAGTATAAGGTTCATATGAAGCATGTTTCACCCAAATACATATATTTGGCTTTTTATTATTTTTGATACAGCCCTGTACCTGGTTTAGATTGGGCAAGTAACCGAATCCACAGTAATCCAAACATCCAACAGTTAATCCGAACAGTAATCCAAAAAATGCCTCGAAAAGGCGCAAGGCTTTGTAAATTGTGAAATTTATTCTACAGTTCGAAAAATGTGGGAGACTTATAATGTTTAAGCAACATTGACTATGTTAAAGATGTCTGATTAAAAGCTATTGTAGCCTATCTTTGAACATCTTGTCATCAAAACTGCTACCTTTCTAATAGAAGTGGAATGATACAACTGGAGAAAGAATTATTTCCTGTAGATTTCCTAACATGATTGTATAAAACCTCAGTTTGTACTTTATTTTAGCCCCAAAATGCGTCGCCAGAGGCCGACGGAGCTATCGCAAGTTCCAAGAAAATCGAATACCCTGTTTACAATATTTGCTATAAAAATTGGAATAATACTAAAAGTGCATCTTAATTTTTACCACTCTGCTTATTGAATTTTTTCCTCATTTGTACATAATAACAGAAACAGGTGATTGCATACTGCCCATCCAACTAACAGATTGAAATGACATTATTGAGTACTGTCTGTGTGTGCGCATTCGATGCTCATGCGTTCTGTTCACTGTTACTGATGTTTAAACCCTTAAATAAACATGCTGTATTTAACTTGTTTAGACGGACCCTGCGAAAAATGGCGTAACAATGAGACAAAATCATAGGGTGAACACATGACGCAAATAATCACCAGGACCTCCGTTTTTCCTCGCTTATCACAAAAGCTTTATGTGAGATGAAACGAGAATAAAATTGATGAATGCAGTTGTGTTTCGTCGTAGGCCAGCTGAGGTCAGGTTGCTCTTGATGTAGCGCTGCTCTCTGTTTTTGATGCTGGCGTGTCATGTTACTGCTCCTTCCTTTTTCTCCGCTAAATGCAGAGCGGATGTTCTCGCACTTTTTTTGTTTCGTCCTATGGCTATTACTGGTGGGGTTGAGGCAGCGATCCTAGCGCGTTGGTTATGTGCTTTTTTTCTTTTAACTTTTAAGCAACCTTTTTCGGCGATCTACATGAGCTACATCCAGTTACTTCCATGGCCACCTCATATTACATAAACTAGCATTATTAGAAATAAAACTTACGTGTATAAAAGAACAAAAATAATATAGGGATATCTAATATTCTTATATGTTGTACTGCCGCTTACGGCGCATTCCTTTAGGAAAAAACGAAGAAAACAAGTCGACGAATAATAAAAACAGCGATGCGGCAGCTTGAAAAGGTTTTTTACAAGTAAAACAAAGGGACAAACTCGTGATGGTAAAAATCAGTGCGTCATTTTCTTAGTTTAAGCAAAAATGAGCTATTATCCAACCTTTTCGCGCCAGGTGAACCTCTAGCAAAATCAGACGCTCTTTTTTGCTGAAATTAGCAATGTACGCTATTATTAATTTTCATGAGGCTTTTGAAAAACTCGAGGAAATTTTCTACGAGACAAACAGAAAGCCTTTCAAAAAGCTTTAGATTTAGGGGACCTTCAAGTTAATCAAAATGATTCAAAAGTAATTTTCAATACAAAAATTTATGGCCGTTTGAGAGACGAGAACATTAGTTGTCGATTGGATCGTCCTCACGAACTTCAACCTTGATCTTTTTAAGCCCGTTTGCGCCTCTTTACGTTTTTTGGCAGTTTTGGGGTTGTGTATCCTTGGAACTGGCCTAAAATTAAATTTCGTTAGAATTTTCTGTATGTGTATTTGAGCGACACAAGCCCATACCTACCAATATCGCTTGATGGTTACTGTCAAGAAGTTATCTGTACATAAAGGAATAGTTTGAAAGTGACTAGTGAGTGGTTTATGTTTCGAACTAAAACTCTGATCGCGATTAGTGATAGTTACATTGAATGAATACTTAGCCCAGGAGTGACACGTCCAATGCATATAAAAAAGTTTCCTTGAATTATTTGTTTTTGTTCAGATAGAGTCTTAGAAACAAAGTGTAAAAAAAATTCCAGTTTAAATGTCATAATCTGTACGTGATACATGAACATGATAGTTGGTCTTCCACCTTAGACAACGGGACGTCTTAGTAAGAAAAATAAAAGGAAATGAGCGAATATATTGGGGTATAACTCTTTTGTATGTCAGTGAACCTTTACACTGCTAAATCTCTACATGATTACGTCTCTTATTACATCTTCTGAAAGTAAAAAGGGCAAATTGCTTTCCTAATCGCATGTACTTAACTAAGATAGAGAACTTAAACCAAATTAACGTGTTTCAGTACAGCTATTCTAGCAGTCAGATTATTCTTTTTAAATTTCAGCTTTATCTTAGACAGAACTGCATTATTTCTTGAATTTACACTGTGCTGCGAGGAACGTTACATTAGGCTAAAGAGTAATTGTAGTTCAATTGGCTTATTCATAATTTTTTGTAGAATTATTTTTCTGAAATAATTTCACAAAACACCTCTGTCCCTCAGAAATGATCTCCGCATTCACTACTTTTTTTATTTTTAATCTCTCTATAAGTTAGGTATTTTATTCTCTTTGTACATCAGCAGACGAGTACGTTACAAATAACCAGTGATTATGTAGTGAGAGTTATTGACGATGTACATTAAACATTATTTCAATAAAAAGTTTCAGATACACGCTGTAACAATCTAATACTGGAAGAGATCCTTTCTCCTATTAAACAGTGTAAAAATATTTGCTCACCAAATGTATCCATTTTATGAAGAACTATTTCTTCTTATTATTGTAGTAGAGAGCAAAGGACGTGGCTAATAAAGTATTCTCTACATCCGTGTTATTCTTTTTTCGCTTGTGTTATACTCATCCACTTTAGACTTTAACAACGTGTATCACAGTAATAAAATTAAGCGGCGTACATGTGGTGCCATCCATCGGTAATCCTAAAATTACTGGCGGTTACGTGTTTTTATTAAACAAAGGCTCCCGTCATTAGATTTCATATTTATTTTGCATGAGAGTTAAGCAACCCGTTATTTTTTGTAACCCATACTGCAGCTTCAATACTTTTCGCTAATGATTAGCGCCTAATGTTAGTAGTGTTGAAGTCGCTTGAGGTTATACCATTATATGATAATCTAACATATATGTTTTTGAAGTGCCACCAAAATTTGGAGAAAAACATTCAGTGGTAAGCGCTCGTCGTGGAGAAAATGTAAAACTAACATGCGAAGTTCAAGGCGATACTCCATTACATATTAAATGGTCTAAAGGAAACCGGCTTATTGACAAGAAGCCAAATAACAGGTTAGTTGTATAAATGACAGTCATACACTATGATAACATTAGTATTGTGAGCATTTTTGAACAATGTTTGAATTTGAGATACGAGATTAGTTTGGTAGCTTCGACAGATGTAGCCTACGTTAAAATTAAACTCTTTTGCACCCAAAAAGTGCAGTCCATCTAAATATGATTCTTGCAGTGCGAACCTCATTACAAAATTGTCCTCTTCCGGGATGGCATTTCTTTCCTTTAGCCTTTTGCCTAGCTGAGCGATATCATTAGATATGCTACGTTTGATCCAATGTACTATAGCCTGAAAAGTGGGCTAATTTCTATAGTATTACTCTCGGCATTGAATATGAAGTTTCAATGAATAAAGATTGCAAATTTATCAATTAAGTTTGGCATGCAAAGAACTTGATAAAGAGGAGATATCAAGTTGAAATAGCTTAAGTGGCCAAGTCGAATAAATCAATTTAAGAAGTTCTTTACTTGCTCATGTGAACAGAAAAACATTGCTCAACTATTTGCTCCTGCTGTAGAGTTCACATCCCTTTAATTCTCTCCCAAGCTTTGCTCAGAGCTCAATGGGCCTCCTTATTGTAAACGCCTAAAGCTTGACACACTAATTATAGCAGCGAATGTGTAAACACACAACTCAAGAAGACAGACGAGCTAGATTTCAACTGTGTTTGCGACCGCACGCGCGCTAGTCAAGTTAAAGACCTAAGCTGCGTTAGATGTTAGGAAAGCGTTGACCCCTTTTTTGTCAGGCAAATGCTGGCGCTGGATATATAGCAGGAAAGACATGTGGGTAGGTGCATAGCCCCAAAAAAGATGAGGTTGAGCTGCGAAGGATGGCTGAAGTGGAAAGTGTATAAATTGAAAGAAAGGGTAAATATGGGGCGGCTGCCAAATACAATTTAGTGCAGACGCCATAAGTTGAATTGACAGTAGAGCTTGCAGGTTCGGCAGACAACGCCCTTTTTAATACGGTAGTGACAACAGTGTTAATTAAATGATTTGATAATTTATGCGAAAATAACTGATATGCAGTCGCTTGCATGGGGACAAAGATGAAGCAGGCGGTATATCCTAGTCGTTACACTGGAGCGATGAGCATCCAAACAAGTCTTCTAAAAAACCCTGTAAAATAATATAGATGTTTCTAATTCAGTGGCAATTCAAGTGAAAACACCGAAAATCGAAAAAAAAAATTATTTCCCTTACGCAGATCGCTTTAGCTAGCAACTAATACAGGTTATGAAGAGCAGGCAACGTAAGATCATTTCAAGGGTTCTACAAACGAGCTAATTTCTGTAGCTAACCGTTGTTATTGCAAGGCTATTGATAATAGAAAAAAATGAATGATTTGATATGGTCAAAGAAAGAAAAATTTCCTTGCGATAACGAATATATCAGAAGTACAACATTTTCTTACAGGTATGAAATTTATGAAACGTATTCGGAACAAAGTATGCGTTCAGAACTATTCATCACGACAACGGAACGTACCGATGGCGCCATTTATACCTGCCTGGCCCAAAATGAACACGGAAACGATGACCGCACAGTAAAGCTACTTATCCTTGGTGAGTAATTTAAATGAAAGCTTCATAAGACCAAAAAGGTTCTATATTCTAAACGTAACAACACTTTGATGTATGCGTTTTAAATCATATACACTGCGTAAAATATGAAATAAGCTAAATATGACATAATCTTAAATGAGTGCTAAATTGAAAAAAGTGCTAAATTAGCTTAATCAGGAACGATTTGAAGGACGACATTATTATTTTGCTGGGTCTTATAACCGTCTGATGCTTATGCATTAAGAAATTTACATTTTTACAATCCAATTGTGTCGTTTATGCAGAGGTCCCACAGCCACCGCGGGATGTCAAAGTCTCAGAGACATGGAGTCGCTCAGCATCAATTAGCTGGACGGCTCCATATACCGGCAACTCTCCCATAACGCGGTATACGGTTCAGTACTGGCGCGTAGCCCAGTCTCACCGCCTTGAAGAATTAGAAGTGGTTGGAACTCAGACTTCCGTTCTACTCTCAGACTTGCGGCCAGGGATAGCTTACCAAGTGGCTGTAGTTGCAGATAATGCTGTGGGTAGTAGCCAGCCCTCTTCTACAATCACTTTTACAACTGGAGAAGAAGGTAATATTTAAACAGAAAAAGTATAACAATAGAAAGGATATATAAGTAATATATATTTGAATAATGGAAGTGAACGAAAATAATTGCATGTTGAACCTCAAGTATACACATGGTGTTTATATTTGAAAGTGCGTGCACAGTGCATGTAATGGTAGAATTTTAAATTCGATGTCAAATACTGCTTTTAATCTATGTTCTATACATTTTCCGACATAAATTAAAACTCTGATAAAAAAAAATAGAAAAAACCTAGAAAAAGATCTACCACAGTATAACATGCGCATGTTTTAATATGATATTTTAGAACCCAGCGAAGTTCCTACAGACTTTCACGTCGAGCCAAAGGGCCCTCATACAATTCGTGTATCATGGAAACCGCCTCCTCGTGAAGAATGGAATGGCCAACTAAAGGGTTACTACATTGGATACAAACCTAGTGGGCATGGGCAACCTCATTCATTTAAGACTGCAGAATATAAAGAGAACTCCACAAACGAGTTCTTTCTTACCGGGTTGCAAAAGGCCACGGACTACAGGTATGATTTATATTATATAGAAACTGAAATGCGCCACATTTATTAGTCTATGGTAGATGGAAACATCAATATTTGAATTAAGTCAAGATTTCTCAAGTTTTTTTCTGGATTTTAATTACAAAAATAGAGTAATCAATTTAATTGCTATAGTCGGTTACAACTCATAGAAGCATGGTCATTTACTAATGACCGCAGCCGGGAATAAATTCGTATACTTTTTCGAACACACCAATTTATATATGACTTCCGTTGTGTTCTTGCTTTATTGATATTATATTGCTATGGTAAACTGTATATACTAGAAAGCATGTTTTTGGTGTTTGGTTCTTTAATTTCGATACTTACAAGCTCAACTTTTAGCTTAGGCTGTAAGCTGAAACCTTTCTTCATTTCTTCATAAAAAAAATTATATGAATTTACATCAGCATTAAAAATAAGTAGCTTATAATGCAAGAATTTTAGTTTTCGCATGCATACATTTTTATAATTAAACTGAGTTTGTTTAAAAAAAAAAGTGAACTTTGCCGTAATTTAACTAAGCTCAGTCAGTGGATTGTGTGATCAGGTTAAGTTCCTGAAACCCAGAGAATGAAAGTCGAAAACTAGTACTCTGCAGCGTATATGTATATACTTATTAAACGCATTGACTTATCGTTCATTTATAGCGTGGTGGTGAAAGCATTCAACGGTGCTGGTGTAGGAAGGCAAACACCTGATCTGCATGTTAAGACACTGGAAGGCGACGTGCCACCTCCACCCAGAGTAGGTTTATTACTATTACTATTATTTGTTACAAATACAGTTCCACTTGGCAGCATTAGTACAAGGATCCCATAATCGTAACTCGTTCAGATTTATACTACTGCTTCAGGCTTATAAGTCGTATGAAGGAAGGGAATAGGTCATTAGTAGCTGACACTAGACTAGGCGTCGTTTTGAAACGTTTCGCTGTGCTCAATAAAAGCTTAGCTTTGCGTATTTAATCTACTAAACAAAAAACGACTTTTTTTTTAATTCGGTTTATATATATATAAAAAAATAAATTTATAAGGCATGCCTATATTGCATTTAGCGTTCTATCATTCTTTGTTTTAATAAGGATATATGCTGTGTACTACACTTGTTGCCCTTGTTAACAAGCCATAAAACGGTAGTCATATTTTGTACCAGTCATTCTTTTCTACCACATTGCTAAATTTTTGTATTCAATCGCAGAAGAATCTGGCTCCTCTCCTTGGTTTTTTTTGGAAGTACCTTTCGTTGATAGCATAGTTATGTGACGCCATTACTCCACATTGTTGTATGAAGAACAAAGAACAAGTATGAAGCAGTCGGTGCTAAATCTATTGCATATGCTGGCCAAAAATAGCCGAGTTGGGTATATTATACGACGTACATTAATGTCAGTTGTATTTATTTTCCGAGCTAGCAAACATTCGGTAATCGGCTTGTTGTTGGTTTTATACGTTATGCTTTAATGAGTTTTTATTTATTGAAGTTACAAAGACGACGCCATTAATCCCATAAGTAGATCCGAAAACAGCGTCGAATACAATCAGGTGGCATTTACTTGATTCATTGGAGCTCTAACTCATTAATTTAAGAACTATCGATGACCCACGTAGCCTCCACTAGAAATTGAAATCCATATTAAATAATGCAGAAAAACCACCCTATACTTTTTGTTAACATTGGTACTCGACACTTGTTAGCGACAGCATAACAGTTAATGATGCTTTGTGCTCTGCAGCTTCAAAATTAGCAACTAAGTTTCGCTTTTGCTACACCAACGGCATTTTAAATAAAATATAATAAATTGAGTTTATCTCTTACATGGTCCGGTATAGGTTTTCGTGGGAGCAACAGGAATAAGCACCATTACAATTCAGTGGGTCCAGGCGCCGCAGAGTGGTGCAAAAGGCTTTATCCTTTACTATCGACCCGATTCAGATCTTAACCTTGGCTGGAGGGAAACCCAATTGGACGGCCGCGCCAATCAATATACCCTACAACACCTTATAGCCGGTAAAGAGATGTCAACCCTTTGAGGTTCTCCACTCTATAGGTGCCATACAAATGGTTTTACTACTTACGAAGCACTTTTATACCGATTAAGCTATTTAGAAAGTTTTATCTCTTTGTCGTTTCAAAGCCACGTTAATGTGTATTGTTTCCAAGTAAGACTACTAATTTTGTGACTACAATTACAGTTCACTTAATTCTTAAAGAATAAACAAATTTTCACTGTTTTTGCATTGTGTCTCTGTGAAGAACTCAATTAAATGTATTACCCTCACTCAACTAAAATACAATATATATATATATATATATATATATATATATAATGAGTACGCTCTCTAACGTTACTTCGTTATTAGGAACGTTGTACCAGATATATGTCAGTGCGACGAACGAGTTTGGCGTGGGGGATCCTTCTGAAATTATCTCCATGAGGACCCACAAGTCACTCGCGTCTGACGTGACAAGTTTACTGTCAACAGCGTTATTTGGCGAATCTGGAAATCAATCTGCACTGCTTAATTTTTTCGTTCTCGTTCCGGTTCTCGCTTCGCTTGTGACTATAATCGTCGTCATAATAGTCACCTGCGTTTGCCTACATAGAATTAAGGCCAGGCATGAGAGAACCATGCTTACCGGACAGGTGCGTTAATTTTGACGTGCATCGATTACTATTTGCCACGATAACTAATATGTAATACAACTAATATAGTAAATTCTGTTCAAGGCAATTCAAATGAGCAAATTCCTATTTTTAGAAGATAGGGTTCAAATTGTTAAGCAAGGGTTGACTCAGCATCATGAGTCATATTACTCTTGTGCTCAGCTCGACCAACTATAGGAAAATATGTATGTAGGAAAAACGATACTCGCTTTTTTTGCAAACGAACACTATAACCACCCTTCGGATTGACCAAATCTGTATAAGGACAAATTTTTTTTTAAGATCACTGATTGTGCACTACGGCGATTATTGTTGTTAAATACACCGTGCACACGCAGAAGTGTGTATTCGTCCATACGAACGAAAATTGGAAAGACGAGCGTTGAAAGCACTTCATATGTATGTGCATACTTATACCTGTTCTATACTCGTCACATGGCGTTGTATTTCCAGGCAATTCCACTTGATCCAAAGACTTACATGACGATAGCTCGCTCTCGGATGGCATCAATGGACGGTACTTGCGATGGCAACCCGCCAAGTAAGCTCTATCTCGTGCCTTTGGCTCCCGGCATTGCACAGAATCACACCTTTGATTCTTCCGTATCGTTATTGCATTTGAGCTCGGTTTTGTCCGGAGGCTCCCGTACCTCACCCTCGTGGGCATCGCAAACGTGTTCAATGCGTGCTCCTTTGCTACCAAAACCTTCTGGATCCTTGCCTGACGCCCCTGTCCTAAACGACGAGCTTCCAAAATTTGAACTAGCTGATTGGCCCTGCAGCCACATGCAACAATAGCAGTCCCGGCCAAACTTGAATGTGTTCCATGGTTTGTCGGGCTTTTTTGTTTGTTCTTTTTGCTTTTCATTCATACCTTTCTGTGTGCTTATAATGAGGAAATATGTTATTTATGTTTATTGATTAGATCAATTAAACCATTATACTTCATATTGTAGTCGCATTATGATTCTAATATGAATGCTGACGATATAATGAAGTTGATTTATTGAAACCACCCTTAGAAGTTTGTTGTAAAATCAATACCTTAGGTATATTTGAATTGCTTTCAAACTTGATTTGCAAAATTCAAAGTTACTTCTTCTGATTTTTGCACGTGTAAACACCACTCGTGAACAAGACGATTTCAATTAAAAGGGAGCCGAAACTAACAATTAATCATACTAATAGTTTGAAAGAGAGAATCAGATTCCACATTTGTGCTAGTACACTAAATAGGTGTTTTGTGGTAACTCTATTTAAAAAGTACCTCAAATTAAGGAAACGAAATAGTCAACTTCAGTTCGCTGTGCAAGTGGCTTTTTTGCGCTCATTACATTTCTAACTTTCATTCTGCGTACTTGTTTTTTTTGTCTATTATATTACCTTTTAGACATTTACATATATATATATATATATATATATATATATATATATTTAAACTAACCTGAGCTTCTATTTGCCATTACCGAACACTTGTACGTGCACTTACGAATCATTCTCTGACTTGCTAATCATCTGGTTTTGGATACACGGCTATTATTGAAACGTCTAATTCTACACGGTCAATCATAAATATGACACTCGATCTGTGTGTGATTTGCCTCATTATGGTCGCCTCGAATCGGATGTCAACGTCATAGTGCAAAATATTGTACGAACTCTGCCAGCGGGCTGCGTGCAAACGTTCGACGGTAAACAGTTATCGGGGACAGGGCAGCCCTCACCTAAGCAACTGCCGCAGCCTGAGTACGGCCAAAGGTACGTCACTCTGCATCCCGACAACAGGATGTGAACAAAAGTTCAACAATACAACACCAACCACCAAACTTCTTCAGCTCGGAAAAGATCGATTCATCTGCACATTGCACCTACTTGTCCTGGTTACTATGTCGACTGGTTGGCCGTTTGGAATACTGAAACAGTTTCGCAGGGAAAAACCCTGCGTGTGAAATTGTCTATACTTTCTTTCGAACTCTAACTACGGGGCTGTAAGATCACCAAAAGGTTTACCATGTTATCCATGCTTGTGATATTTGATGGCGGTGCTCAAGTCTGGTGGTCAAGCGGTGGACAGCATTCGTTAAAATTATCCATCAGCAGGATTAATCTAAACATATAAATAAGAATACAATGATGGGGTGAATGCAAGATTAAGAAACATACAACAGTCAACCGCTCATGAAGCGGACGGATCGATAACAAGCTAAAGTCGGGGAAAGGACGAACCAATTGCATCTACGAAACTTTTCGCGCGGTTGGACACATTGAACCATCATTACCTGAAGCCAAGTGATGAAACACACTCTGATCTCAAATTCGTTCATTGGGCGTACGAAAAGAAACGTAAGTTAGGTTAGATGAATGAATGAATTTTAGAAGTGAATAGTTATGGCTGATGCGTGCATGAACACCGATCAAGCAAAATAAAAACACGAAAACAGATCGCAATGATTGATCACGATGGACGAATGGATTAGTGACTGAATGCAAGTGGTATCATCAGTTGTGCATGAATGTGGTGGGTCATGAGTGCTACGCTAAAATACAAGTTATATGTCCGATTGTGGTCGTACGATTGTGCAATTGCCTGATCTTGGGAGTGTGGGGCAGGGAAACGAGTACGAAGTTCGATTCAGGGTGGGCATTGCAAAATAATTTTTCAGTGATGCATTTACCGTAAGACAGTCAAGGATAAAAGGCAAAATGAAATCTAATGAAATTGTGGAAGTCAAGAATAATTTTCTTGTAGTCGGCTGAAGTATTCCGACCTCACGAAAGGGTGGGTAAGTGAGGGCTTCATTAAAAACCTTCAAAAATATATGCTTCGATGTAATAACAAAAACTTTGAATAGGCGTGTTTGCGCGTCGAAATGTTTGAATCATATTATATAGATATTCCCGTTAGAATCATTAGGGGATGATGCCAATGAACTTCAGCAGTGTCTTCTATTAGTGTATGCATGAATGTGTGTGATCGTTTGTCATCAGATACGTCGATATTCAGCAGCCTCCGCCATTGCCGCCAGATCATCCAGCAGGACCGCCACAATCCCCACTGCCTGTTCCGCCAATGCCACAAAGTCTATCAAATGCAGGGATTACACAAATGGATGATGTAGAGGCGCTAAAAAAACAGCAGCACGTTAACGAGGAGATGAAGACCTTCTTGATGAATCACAATGGATTGCCCGGCATGATGCAGATGCCTCTTCAGGCACAACAGGTCTGTAAGTATCCATTTAATATGCTCCTGAACCGCTATTGTCATGTCTGACCTGTAATTACATTAATATGTCATTAGTCTATGTAACAGATAAATAGAACCAACTCGTAGACGCTCGTCGTCCCCCTTTCTCTTTGCCGATGCAAATAGACGTACTCTATTTTAGAACAGGAGCTTTACTTAGGCTCGTATTTGCTCAGATATATATTATAAATCACGACACGTCTACATCTGTGCGTAACGATCAATTAATCTATCTACATATTTATCCAGAAAGTATTATATATGCGCTAGTTATTGTCCTTGACGATACGTGGTCACAGTTAGAGATCACGTGAGTTTTTTGTCTTTATATTCTGATTTCCGTCGTTATACTCTGGATGTGTTTCATTGTGTGTGTACGTGATTGCAGAGTCCAGCTTGTTAGATGCGTAGCTGTGTACAACAGGATGATTTCCATCGTCATTAAGAAGTAGACTCACGGACTATTGCCCCAGTTAAGCAATTAAGAAATTGCACATTGGCTTTGTGGTGAGTAAGATCTAGCGCAGGATGACAAGAATGTTGTAATTTTGTTCTAGTATTTCTACCTATCCCGAGTTCTAGCGGATTATATAAGCTACAATAATGGCTTACTATAATGCAATTCAGTGCGTCAAAGTACATCAAAGCTGTACAAATCGTACCTAAATCGTATCTGTATGTTGCTGATTATACGTACAAGATAATGCACTAAGGTGTTTTAGACACTTTATAGGCACGCTTATGTGTGAAAATGTAGCCAAATAATATATGCAGTTGCAATTGTTAAGAACAGATAATAAATACATTTTCTTTCCGCTTGTTCATGACGTTAGGTAAATAATCACCTTATTATTGGCTGCACAATTTCTAAAAATGGAAATTCATATGGCATACATTCCGTCTATTGATGTAATAATAATTGAATAATAATCGTACGTAATTGTGTAATATATTAACCTTTGAAGAAAGGTGGGCTAGAATTGAGCTGGAATTAACAATTTGCATGTATTCTCCGTGTCCAATCTGTCTTTGTGACTTGATGCCCTCTCTCAAATAGTTTGTCACAAATTTGGTGGCAAACAGAATCCTTCAGGCAGTCTATTTATGACCAAAATGCATTCGTGAAGTCATCTTCCAAGCTTTAAGTCGGGACGACTTCTCCCGACACCTCTATCAAAATTAGTTTCACCAGCCATAACTACCATCGGTATAGCCGGAGTACAAAAATCAAGAAGGACGTTTTCAGCTCTCCTGGTAACGCGCGATTCATCTCGAATGGCTATGTTCTCACTGCTAGTCAGCTGCCTTCACCACCCCATCACCGCCAGCAAGGTCACCAAGACCTGCCACTTGCTGTTTCTTATGTCACAGGGACTAAAGGATATCCATAACAGAAATAGCGCACATCATAACCGATGTTTACCTACAAGATATGTAACAAGAACAACAACAATGTTAGCAATAGTCTTTGCGGATAACAAAAAATCAGGAGATCCACCGACTTCGCTCCGCTATTCGTATATTGTTCAACAATCAATCATACGAGTTTTTTTTTCCCTCCTTCCAGGTTTAATTCCAGTTCAGACTCAATACATATTTACGATTCTACTATAGACGACTTACAACGGTAAAAAATATCGGCTAAGAGAGAGAATATTAGCAGAGTTCTGTTCTCGAACTTCTGCCATGGTTTATGATATTTGGTAACAACATTCTTGGTTAACGAGAATGTGGTATACAATTAGGTCTGCTTCCTTCACATTCATGATTATGCGACACTGCATGACTTACTCTGTATGTATATTTTAAAAGCGATAATATTTATACACATATATACCCAGATATGTAACACAGGTAATAGTATTGAAAGTCTTCTTGCTAAGAAATTGTGTGACATTTTTCCGATCTATTACTGAGACGAAAAGTTAACGGGTGCTCTCGCTTGTTCTGCCCCTCAAGCCCACCGAGTAGAACAAAAAGTTTCAATAAAGCCAGAGGTCATGATAACATACCAATGAAAGCGAGATATTCTGAGCTATGGCGATGTAAGTTAATAGGATTTGTCAGTTAAAAGCTGATTCTCATAACGTTCTTAGCTTAAAAATGTTAAAGGATTTCTGCGTCTTTTGTACTATCTTCCAGTTAAGCAAGTCAACTATTAAAAAGCGATAGTTGTAATTAGATTTTGTGCGGCCCATACGTGAAAGCGCATCTGAGTAAGCCGTGTGTAATGCAATCTGCAGGTAATGGATAATAGCATATATGAGAATTCCGAACGGTGGTGAATGAGTTAAAATAGCATGCATCTAAAGACACTTGAATGGACTCAAGATTCAATATTTATTTGTATTTATGTCAAGCATAACTAGATGTCAAATTGAAATGTATGGATGACTGATGTACGCATAAATTTTTATTTTAAAACGTTCAGTACTAAAGATTATAATGGCTCCAGGCAAAAGTTTTTGCGAGCCACTATCCCGGATGCCAAATACATTAAGCCGATAACTGTAAGTTATTAGTAATGTTATATGACTCTTAAGAGATTTATTAAATGATTTAGCATGTATACGTATATAAAATAATTTGTAAGCCACATTGTCTTTTGTTTTACTTAAGGATTTAGAGGTTTCATTTTTCCTAGAGACAAATGGAAAAGGAAGAAGATGGCCTTAGTTTACCGATAATAATGAAATGTAATACATGTAAAAGTATTAATCTCAATGACAGTATATGTAAGGATAACACCATACAACGAAGTATGAATCGTGAGCCTGCCTTTGAGAAGTTGGTACTTTAAACGAAAAACCAACATATTAAATGACACATTTGTTAAAGACGAACACATTAAATAATAGGTTATTTTACTTTACGCAAAGCATCTTATTTGTATAGTGCTAGTACAATATTTACTTGTGAGTATAGAACATATTATACCAAGTATGCTCTGTGCAGGAAAAATGACCAGTGAGAAAATGAAGGATTTTTAGCGTTTCTTTTTTTCGATTGGTGTTTACTAATATAGTTTAAGCTATATGGTAATCATTGTTACCATTTACGGGTGTGTAATATTCACATGTAAATTATTTCAAGAGTAAAGAAAATACATGCATCTACGTGTATAATCATTACAGTATTTCTGCAAATATGGTTTTCACACCTTTGCCATCATCCGGAAGTTTTCAGTTTTACCGGTCTTGTTGTCATTGTAAAGATTTGACTGTATCTAGTGTAAATACACGGAGTGATAAGCTTATGAGCGGCAACGGAGTCGGTGCTCAGAAGAAGTCAAACTTTGTTAATCAAATATTATGGAACAAAAATACTAGATTATTATTGTATCTCAAAAAACATCGATTCCGGATTTTTTGTTTTGCGGTATGCTTTGCTTTTGCAGCAAAATTATTGTAATAAAGATAGGCCCAATGAAACGAGACTGTTCTAAATAATGATCCCCTACAACTTATGATTTTTTATTTTTGATTTCTCCAAGAACAGCTAGTCATTTAAGAATGAGAAGCATGTTCTCAAGCAAAAACGCGTTTCCGTAAATATAGAAGTCTATTATAAAACGAACAATTATTGGCCCAGCTTTTCATTCTCGAATCTTTAATGAAAAGCTTTTTCAACCTACAATCAAAAGCAAGTTCTTCAACAACCATAATAAAACAATACTTACATCACAGAGAGGATTCGAAAAGTGTTAATGGAGTAACTAGAGGACTAAGAAAGTTGTACGCAAATAGACAATAATGCAAAAATGAGTGCACAGAGCTACTATATTGCTCATAGTAGCAATACATTAATTTGAGTAATTAAAGTATATTAGAACATAAAATAAAATAAATGGGATAACCGTACGTGTGTATTCGTTTTAATATTAACAAATATATGTTGTGTTCCGTCACCAGTTAAATTGTGTTAGCTGACCGCTAATTGGTCTGAAGCATCTATTCTTCTATATGACATTCAAAGGGAACAGTCCTTTACTATTGAATGGTTGGATACTTCACCACAACGCTATTGCAAATAAAGCTTGTATTCGAAAACACCGTTCTTTCTAGTTAGTGTATTTCACTCCCTAAGGAAAATTGAAGGGGTGAAAACAGAGGGAACAGAAATAAGCACCAGAAGTAATACAACTCTCTAAATGAATGTGTAGAAAGCGACAAGTTTAAATTTAAAATTACGACTCACGGTTCGCAAAACAAAAAAAAAATATTTTTTCTAAATCTTGCCCCTTAAAATCATCTTAAAATGAAATTTTGAGTTCAATAATCGTAATAGCAAGTCTGTCGAGTACTAGCAGTTTGGAGGATTTGGAAGCTGGTTCGGTTAATACCATACATCGGCCGACGTTAATTCGGTAGTAACATACAGCCTTATCTTTTTTGTCCCGCTAGGTTTGGACATCTGATCGGTCAAGATGGACTGTCTTATGAGAGTAAGTGATTTTTATACCTTAAGTATTCCTAAAAATAAGTTCTACGCATTTATATCATTAGTGGAAAACTACATTATTGTAAAATTCTTGTGATTAAATGTGTAATAACGTGCATAACCTATGACAAAGTTGTTCGCAAAAGCTTATCATTGGATTTGTTTGTCTATCAGCTTATATCGAAAATTTTTAAATAAAACGAAGATACTGACTTAGTCCTTTAAATACATTTTATTTTCGTCAAGATAAACTCCGTCGAACATATATTCAACAATAATTAATTCGACCGATGAATACGACTTCAATTCCCTCTAATCTTGTCCTTATAATATTGCATGAGGTTGTCATTTAAGCTTGGGGAACATACAGGAGCCATAGTGCACCATATTTAACCACTTCAGTGCTTTATTTATAATATATATCATAATATTAATAAATAAGTCACTTTAAAAAATAAACAATAAATGAGTCACTTTTTCACCGTGTTGGGTCACGGTGAAAAGTGCTTGCAAGAAATTGTTAGCTAAAAAAAATGTAAGTGTTACAAACTAAACTGCGTCGCAACATTAAACATTTCGCAGCGGATCACACCGCTTACTTCGCTTCGGCTAATTATTGTTATTATTCGAAAGCTCTAAAGAATGAGAAAATTTTATACGATAATAATAATTAAGTGCGTGCGTTGTACAAACTATCGTTACACGTGCATATGCAATTACGATATCCTTTATGCAGTCTTTTTGAATTAAAAAGTCTCTATATTGAGTTGACAAAATATATAATTATTTTAAATGCGAGCAACTGTAATAGCGTAAATACGCTTTGTAGACATTACTTTTTTGCGAATGTTAAATCCCTGCAATACGCCTATTGCGTTGCACTGCTGTAAAAGACAATATTTAATATATCATATTGCCAATATTTGTATTAATATTGCGGGTAAATGTCAATAATATTTATGTTTTTCAAATGCCACCGGCGTTTAGTAAATGGATTATTTCACTTTCTTGTATATAGTAAAATGCACAATGCTTTGAGCTCGATAGACAGCCATAACAAAACCCGTCCAAACAAAATTTTTTATTTGGGCCAATGTAACTTGGTGGTTTAGATAGCTCGATGTGGAGAGTGCAGTCCAACTGGTTAGCAAAAAAGTAAATGAAAGAATGAGTGGAGTAAAAGTACATTTCTTCCTCATGAATGTAGGAAATTTTTTTAGCCCGAAAATGTTGTTTGAATATATGCACATTTAAACTAATATATTATTGCATTATTTGTGACACAATAGTAGTTCGTCCGTCACCAATAGCTTGCCCTTCATTATCGGCTTGGGTCACTAAGTTCAAAATTACGGTCATAATTTTTCGCTTCATAAACGTTTAACGCTTTACGTAAATAACACATCTTAATCTTCAAATTTCATCAACACTGTATCCATAAATATGAAATCCAATATGTTTAAAGCAGGGATTGAATATGTGAAAGCTAACACATTGCCAGTCGCTGCCTCTGTCTCAAAATTCATAATATACCAAAACTCCTGTTCCGAGAAGTTATGGAGGATTCATATAAAACAGTCGCACCTAATAGGAAAGCTGAAAATCAATTTTGAATATCATTTTTAACATGTACGCACGCATAGACGAGAGAATAAATTTAATGGGCTGTTCCTTACGTAGTTCCTTCTATGTGAGTCAGTGCATTTAAAACCCCAGTAGGGGCTAAGTTGTAGGCTATTAAAGCAATCAAGTACTTTCCTAGGGTTGCCAAAGGAAAAGCTCAGAAATGTTAATATGCATATATCAACACGTGTGCGATATGCACTGATTTGAAAAGGTAAAAGTTACCAAAATAATGAATCGGACAACTCAAATATGCCCTGCGGAACTTCGTTTTAGGATAATGCTAAATTCGAGCATATGATTACAGTCAGCCAAGTAAACGTGTTTTTTGCTATTAGATGAAACCACTGTGACCTACAGGATTGTGCATCCGGTTAGAAATAATCCGAAAAGCGCTAGCAGAGACCAAGCTGATATTGCAACTGTTCTCAATTTTCCTTTATTTTCTCTTGCGATTGCAAACAAAGCAGCATGACGACACTATAAAATAAATTTCATAAATTGTTCTGGGTTTTATTAAAAGTCGCTTACTTTTCCGCGGTTTTCCGGCTCTAGTAACCTTACTTACACTCTTTTGTTTCCCATTGTCGAAAAGAAAACTAAGTTACGCTGCTAAGTAGGAAAAGCAGTTTTAGAATCGTGCTATAACTTTTGTGTTGTTTAAATTGCCAGTTGTCATAAATTACTGCGACAACTCGCAGTGATAAAGAGAAGAAAAACACAGCAATTTATAGTACGCTTGGGAGTTTCTAAGCTGTGAAATCTTCTTTTACGTATACTTGTTTCTTTAGCAGGTTTACAAAACTGGTTGAAGGGTATACTAAGATCACTAATAATGATTCTTCGCTAATCGATTTCGTGTTTGCTTTTGGCGTAAAAATTACAGAGTTTTTTTCTTCAATTTCTCTAAAACGTAAGGTAGTGGCTTCCGCGCCCGGCTAATATCAATATTATATGACCTGGAAATTGATAATGAAACCGCTGCCTGGCTGCGCAGCTAATTACACGTCGAGCTTAGAAAAACAGGGAGCTGAATTCATTTGATTATATTGCCAGGCCGTTTGGCATAATTTGAAACTAAGTTGCACTTGCGATACTCTAGATGAAACTATGATTGGGTAGTAAAACACCGCAAATGCAACAGTATGTTAATCCCGATATACAATTTGTAGTTATTTCCATCAGTAACCGTGATTTGGCTACATTCTTAATAATGACCGTATTTCCAGAGTTCAGTCTACTTAGGATTTGCTATCAGCTTTCTCCGACATCGCAACTAACAAGGATGGCAAATTCGATACGCATTATAATACGACACACCGCTGCTTTACTATCAAAGAAGCTGATGTCTATGTTACACTCTTATAACAGTCTTGCGATTTCAAAATTTATGTATTGCTTAGAGAGGCTGCTCTTCTATCCGAAAAAAGGAATAGATACAAAGGTAGGTGGCGTTTATAGAGAATCGGTTGCGTTCACACTTTAGTTCGTACTAGTATTACGATGTCCAAGAGGTCAATCAATCTAGATATAATAGATTGCTTCCTAATCATATGTCATAATCATAAACGCAGTAACTCAGCCATAAATGCTCTTCTAGTTGCTCTTGCTGAGAGCCTTCATAAAATTTTTGCCTCGTAGTTGACCCAAGTATTGTGATAAATCGTGATGTTGTAATTTATTATACGCGAATCTAATATATATGGCGTTATCCCATTTTATCGTTTCCTTTAGCTACCAGGTAAGGTATACCTGTACTGTATACGAATAAAGGTGCAATTCTCGCTCTTCGATTGTTTGTGAACCTTTGCAGTATATCTATTAACTGCTTGAAAATTGTTTTAATAGTTCAAAAATCCTTCATTTCTGTGTTTATGACGGGACATTTACTTCGTTGGATTAAGGATACCGTGTATTATGAAAAATACAAAAAACAAGCAAACAACTTTTATTTCTCCCTTTGGATGGACCAGTTACGTCTATATCAGGGAATTCTGCAGCATCTGCCTGGTCGCAAAATGTGATGTTACCTCTTTCCCCTGTCATTTACATATTGCTTTAATTAATGAACTCTACTTCAGCCACCTTCGCCTTTTGGGTTCCAAGGATACCCGTGAATATTCGCATTTCCGAAATATCCATGACAGTAAAGCTAGTTGTTTCAGACTCACTCCATGTCAGGTCCCAGTTTTTCTCGAACTTCACTCTGGTTTCAACAAACTAAGACTTCTGGGATTTTTCTATAGGTTTAGCTACACGCTTTCTAAGTCTACAGTGTTTTAGGTAGGTTTTGCGAATTGTATTCATCAGTGGCTAAACTGAGCTATCAATAAAATCAACAAACAAAACTAAATTATATTGTATTTAATACGACATGCGAATGTAATTCCTAAAATATATTTTATCAGTTTTACCTTGTTTCTTAAACCAGTAAATCGAACTATATATTTCATAATTATTTGTTACGTTTGATGACAATTGTAGCACTGAAATTATACACCCAATTACCCATCCTTGATTATTTATTCAAGGATCACTTTAGTACTGGCTGTCAGCGTAGTCACCTTTTTTTACACATAAGATATCACTTCCTTTTTAAAGCAGAAACAGCACATTTCGATGAACAGGTGCCACGCTGAGCCTTCAATGGTGGTTGATCAATGAAAACAATACGCGAGCTTGCTTTGTATTCGTAACCGTGTATGTACCATCTCCCTCGATTCCCCCTAAACGCCTTGAAGTAGCACTTTAAGTAGATCGCAAAAGCTGAATCACAACAGTAAAACACGCGTCGCACTCTCTCCCTTTAGCAAAACGGACGCTGACAACAATAATACACTTACACTTGAACTGATCAACTCAGCACTCACCACTCCGTTACCCAACATAGAACAGCTGGCATAACACCACACATACCCATGCAGCACAATGCTACATATAGCAGAATTAAGCTGATCTTGTGTGTTAGAAAAAAGTCTCATTGACTGTATACGCGATCGCAATATGCAACAAACTAGGTGAATGAAGATTGCATTTCACTTTGTAGGAGATAGATGACATTATAAGCTCATAGGTTCCTAGATTGAAGTATGTGGACGAGGTTTTTATAGGTATCCCTCTTCAAGAAAGATTTGACGAGTAAGAGCCCTTACAAACAAGGAGGCACACAGAACAAGGTTACTGCAACACTTTCAATCAATCTATTGGTTTCACAAGAAAAAATGTAAGAAACATCAAGTTCACATAACCTACTCTCTGTACTTCATACATCATTAAATCTGCTGCGAGTAAATAACACGTGCCTGTTAGAATAATGACTTGATAGAATGACGTGACGCACAAACAGAGAGGATCACACCAAAATCACATTTTCCTATAATTTTTCCTAATTATAAATCAGCAAAACCATAATTATCATCATGAACAGGCCGGTGCATCTAAATTGATTCCTGTAAGGCTCGATCTAAAATAACTGTTGAGCATGACTCGAAATGAACCTACATGATTATTTGGTAGAATTCCCGCAAGTATAAAACAGAAAATAATATCTTAGTGGCGACCAATATTAAAACCATGTAAATCACCAAAAATCAACCATTTGTAAAACGAAGTACAATGGTTTACCCAGTACTTAACTCAAATTGTACGTGAACAAATATGCCGTTATCAACATAAACAGGTAAATGTTGCAGTTATTTTTTATGAATATTTTCTACATGCGTCAGACTTTAAAATCGCGCAAGACGCCATATTTGGCAGGAAAAGCATAACTAAACCCACCACCGTTTACCAGTCTATATAAGTAAAATTGATTTCTTGGTAATTCGCCAATTATTTTCTTATTATTTACTAGCTGAATTTCGTGGTATGGTTTTATGCTTCTGTTTATCACGTAGATAGTCAAAACTCTGATACATTTTTGTTTAGAAGTTTGATGACGTGCAAATAATTGCATGCGCTCTTTTTGCACGTTTCTAAGATTTATGGTAGTTACATAATAAAGAATTGCTACACTAAAGCTACTATGAAAATTTACATCCCTACCTTATCGTCAACTGCTCTTACATCCCTTTCCACTACTGAGGAAAACGCACTATTGTCTTTGCTGGCTGAAGGTGAAGGATCGCGACTAATACTCCAGTACTCTTCTTTGGAAAATTCAGGTACTTTATGCTCCCAATTTTTTGAACCTATGATGTGTCAATAATGCTCTAAAAAGTTGTTTAGATTGGGTGCTACACCCATTTTCGTTCGGTTGTTTTTGTGAAAACTGCTGTCCCTCTGTATATAGGTATCTACTTTGCAGGAATTTTGGTGCTTTTTGGGAAAGCATCGAGGATGATCTTCATTCTGCGAAGGTTTTAACAGTTCTAATAAACGGTAGTGTTATGAGACATGAAAAAAAACTTGGTGCTTACAAATTCCACACATTTTACTGTATTATTTAAGCGACAGTATTAACAGTTTAGTAATATACAGAGAGTTCCGGAAAAACTGTGTAGGCGTGTATGGTTGAAGCCGTTAAAGCTCCCGTGAAACATTTTATGGGTGCTAACGTGATTATTGTACCAATAATCGTTTTACTCATGAGAACTTGTGTTCACTTGACTTAGACTCTTGTGACTACTTTCGTAATGTTAAAAAAAGAAATATTCAGCATGTTGCAAGATTTGTGTGGTGAAACAACTAAACACTTATTTCGTTTAGGGAAGCTAGCTGGATTGCTTTTGTTATTGCGTTGCTACTTTTTTGCGTCGTTACTACAAAAGCCAAGATCTTCTCTTGAGCATAACACAGGTAAAAGTATGTTTAAATAGGCTATCTATATATTCGTCTCTTAGGTACAAGGTAGTCGCATAAGTCACCCAAAAACATATAAAATGGTAACTGCATATTTGAAGTAAGTATGCAGTTAGCATTTTGCTTTCATATCTGACTTGCTTTGAAGGGAAATCAAGTTGGTATTATGTTTCAGTTCCATGCCCATAGGCTTTGATTTTACTATTAAGAATGCACTACAAATTGTAAACGGTTCTAAACAGTATCCTTCTAAAGAAATAAAAATACTAATATTAAAGGAGTAATTATGAGAGGTGAGATACAGTATTACATATATTTTTGGCTGAATGGGTGATGGCGTTTTCAACATTGTTGTAAAACGAGAAGATGGTTAGAAAAACATTATACGTTAGTCTACATTTTTGAAGATTATAACAATAGCATAATTCTTATTAATCTGAGAGGTTCCAAAGGTAAGGAAAAATGTAAACCACCTAAAAATTTGACCAACGAGTTTTCACCAAAAAACACAACAACAACGATTGTTTACCACTTCTGCAACTCTGGGTATTGAAAATGAAATGCAAGTATAAATAAATACATATGTCCATATTATATAGAGATATAAGGAAATTATAGGGTAATATATGATAATCTAGTGGAAAAATAGCCTCACCTTAATCCCTAATGGAGTTGCAATGCCATATAGACCTCTACGTTACATAAATTTAAAATGTGAAACGTGTTGGGGCGACGAATATGTAAACGCATTAATGATTATGGTGCCTGTTTGAGCAATTCAACTAAGCACAGTTCTTAATGATTAAAATATTAGCTATACTTGTAAATATTTAAAAAATAATCTTCTTAATACCACAGAGCTATTTAATCTCTGAATTTGGAAGCATTTCAAAAAAGGATGAGTAAAATGCATTAAAACTTTTTTCTTAGCTTAATAGCAAGTCCTATTAAAGTCTATTTCCAAGCGAGCGTTAAACCATCAAAGCAACTGAACAGAATACGAGGGCAAATGTATCGTTGAATAATATGCTGCTTTCAACTTGGTTAAAATTAGCAGTAACACAACGAATAATGGGGAGCATTTGTTCTTACATACAAACGGTAATTGTCTATTTTTTCACCTACCATTGGACTGTTCGCATATTTGCATAACTTCTTCACACTGTTTCCCTAAAAGGAGAACAAAAGGAAGAATCAACCACTTTATATTCAAATTCAGGTGCTGTATGAATCGAGTTTATTTTAGATCTTGTCTCAAGCCCCGCCTTTTCGGTTATAGACGACAGTATACACATCAAGTTCAAGTAGATTATTATTCTTATGGAGGATGTTCAAGAGATAGAGAGAACGAGTAAGAGAGAAGAGAGAAAGATGGGGGAGGAGGAGGGCAAAGGCGCAGGGGCAAGACATCCGAAGTCTACCCGTTTCATATCGGCTGCTCCGGCAAATGAATATACACCAACGTTTCCTCAACACCTCCGTTTGGTTGGCCGCCTTTTTCCGGCCACGCCAACTCCACTGAGCTGACTGCACCTTTATCGTCTTTACAGCCAGCATCCTCGTCTAGTAGAAAGAAACAACAGATGAACCGACTTGAGCTGAGTAGCCTACGCACCAAACAGCGATCATCGTTCCCCCAATTTCAAGTTCACTTCTTCCCTTCCCTCTTTGCGCTTCCCTTCCTTTTTCGCTTGTGCCCCGTTTTGAATGCTCCTGACCCCATCTCTACCCTCGTGGAGACTCAAGCTGCTGCTGCCATGGCCGCTGCCGACAGCAGTTTGACGCCACTTTCCCTACTATATTCGCCGCTACTGCTAACGCCTGCCTGAGCTTTTATACTGGGACCCTACCCAGGTTGACGCCGGCATCGAAAGATCGATAGATGCGGTTCCCGCAGTGGTGGTCCAAGGAGCGGCAGCCCCAGGCGCGTGGGCGGGCCGAGGTAGAGGCGGTACCTCCTCTGGCGACTCCTAACTCCGCCCACAACGAGCATGCACGCACGCACCCGCTACGAAAAACCCATGCTGAAGATCCGCAGGCCAGCTGGCCGTTGTGTTAAGTGGGTCAACTTATTGCAACTATCAGTACTACACCGGCTACAGCTATTACTGCTTTTATTATTATTGTCTCACAAAAAAGATTCAGAAGCTAGATACAAGTGAGCCAGACACCACGCACGAAATCACAAGCGTTATAGCACAAGGAATCGCGATCTAGCCAGACCTATGACGATTGAAACCTTTTGTTGGTACATTGGCGGGATGACGTGTAAAATAATCAAGAGTAGATGATTTTAAGTGCGAACTGCATTACACATCTGAAAAACGGAGCGGTCCCTTTATACTGACCAGTTTGTGCCTCAGAAGAACCCAAAAAGACTTTCTTAAGTTTTACTTCGTTCTCCAAAACGAGGCTAACAATATTTGAACTCTTTGGTGGTGATAACGCTACATTTTTTTGTGGTGGGTAAATTGCCGCTGTATGTAATAGTTCGTTTGGAAATTTGTGATAGGAATAGTGATCATACCTCAGTGATATGAGGTACAGCTGTTATTTGGAGAAGAAGTGTATTTCGTTTAGAAAGTGAAAACGCGGTTTATACACCCACGGAGCGAAAATATATAAGAGGTGGAAAATCTATTGTGCGTGCTTAGCAGAGACAGCTTAATGTTGAGGGTAAACAAAAGTTGACTTCATGCGACCTGAAAATCGTGCGGTCGGCGGAAACCTATTAATTCGATCTGGCATATTGTGGTACAGGTGTTAGTGCGACTATAGGTGTAGGCCCCGGTCGGTGATTCGGAAGCGAGCTCAACGGAAGTAGCGCCGTCGGAGGATGCAGAGATGGTGCTAGCATTCACCTCCACTAACTGCAGCGCAGAGTTCTTTCTTCGCGCACGAGAAGAAGACTCAGACTCACTACATCACGAAGAGAACAGCAATACCTGTCTCCACAATAATAATAACCGTAATCACTGTAACAGTCAACATCAACGTCTTAAAGAAGGTATTAGTCGATCATATTATATATACGTTCCTTAAAATCACTTAGTAAATTTTAATATGAACTGTGACTAGAACAATGCTCTCAGCTCAAGACATCATCAGGACACATAATTCCGGGTTATTCTGCTAAAGCTTTTTTATATGTACTCAGGAAACACAAATTTTTCATAAAGACATACATTTTACTTTTAAACTATTGATATGTGAAGAGCCATGTGGAATAGCAGAATATTTTCGGAATTATTGCAAAACTCAAATATAGAAAACATTACGTTTTCGATTTTTTCTCTGTACTCTTTACTGTTTCTCTCTTTTCATTGAGATATGTTATTACGTTTTAGATAGACGAGCTACTTCTACCTTAACCTCTCTATTTGTTTCCTACAAATTTTCTCAGCACACTCCGATCATTTCTGTACAACACTATCAGCATTTGCCATTTAGAAAAGCTAATGCCTTTGGCGCTATCATCCGATTAGTTTTAAATCGCTTGTGGAGCTTTCGGACCACACACGGTGAATTCTGATGTGATATAGAAATGAGAAGAGAAAAATACGTATCCAACACTTTAAATCCAGATGTACTAGAGTCTACAGAAAATTATTCAATAGCATTTTTGTGATGCTTAACACCCCTGTTTAATTAAAGTAGCACCCGTATTTCTTCAATAATCAGTAAAGTGTTTGGTCATATACACAGTTGTAAGAGTTTTTATTACCTTTATTGACACGTTATCCTGATCATCAAATTTTATTATTAAAAATCATTGAGTAACTAGGAAAATAAGTTCCAAAGCATCATAACGGATAGCATTTGCAATTTTTTGTACTCCGAAGACATCTCTAATGGACAGTAGACTAACAGCATGGAATGCTAAATAAATAGCTATAATATAATACATTGATATACCAACAGTGTGTACATGAATTCAGCCTCAGGAGTGCACCAAACATTACATCAATTTCGATTCCAAAGGCTCGACTTCCGCAAGCTCAAAACGTAAAACCTATGCAATATTAATTCTCATTTGATAAGAGGTGCTGATTGCAAAAATACATAAATTAGTATTTCTATTATGGAGGTTTTCTGACCAGCTGCTCTTGATCCATAAGCTTAATCCGATACCACGTTGCATGGAATCTCATAGGCTGCAGAATCAAGTGCCACTGATTAGCTCGTTGCACAAAATAGATGATGTGCACGTTTAACTTGAAAAGAGCTTTCGCTAGGTGTTTTACATTAGTTTAGTCGGCGGATGAATACAACCTGTTTCTAGTTTGTCTATTCATGAAGGTGAAGGCCTAGGATAGCAAGGGTTCAATATCAATTGAAATAGATCCCACAATACGAATTTGTACGTCGCATCAGATTTGACTTTCGCTGCTGTTCGCCATTGATGGAAAGCAGCTATCTAGCAAGGCTACTTTACATGTATGCACAGATATACATCTGCGACACACACCAGCCTCTTGCTGCCGCCACACTCAGCAGTACCCGCGCTCCCGCGATCAAAGTTGACTGGCACGAGGGGTTAAAATTCACTGACTTGTCTTCGGTTCGATAGATAAACTCGAGTCACTGCCTGCTTCTGGCTCCGTGTGCCTCTCTACCCGCACGCGCACGCCAGCTTAGTCTACTCCACCTTAATTCAATCTAACAAACATTCCTCAATACATTGTTTAGTGCTGTCGACGATAGTTATTACAATAATTTTATTGCATAACTTCTAACTTGTAGTAAGCTGCAACAAACCTTTCAAATCTGAATCCGTATTATTAGTAAGGTTATGCTACTCATTTGCTGAAATTTTGAATAATGACAATTATATTTGTATAATTAGGCACGCACATACTTCAAAACGATTTGTTTCAGTTATGGCACCTGCTAGGGTTAAAATCGATATGATATGATGCATTTCATGAGTAGTGTGCGCATTAAAGGAGCCTCGCACACCATGTTGAATTTCGCGATTCTAAAACGAAAATCTTCTCAGATGTGTTTCAACGAAAGTTATAGAGATATGCTTGATACATTAAAATGTCGTTTTATGTAGTTCTATGCTTCACTATCGGTTTACTCAAAAAAATATTTTTATGTAACAAGGAGAAATGATTCCACACCTAGTTCGCTGAAACATTGTGTAGAAAGCCCTTTCGACTTATATTGGAAGAAAAGACGTTTTTTATGGGTCGATCTAGGACTTTTGATAGAAATGCTTCCAAGAACTTTGGAGTTTTCCGGGCCTAGACATACCGATCGAACGACTTTTAAGACTATCCTACCGAACACCAAAGGCCTCTGACACATTGAACTGTTGCCGAAGAGCGCTGTAAACATTCAAAATGATCGTTGTATTTCATGACGATAAACGAGCTTTAGCTATAATGCTTTCTTACGGAGTCATAGGGAGCCTACATCCACACTTAAATGATCATTCGAAAACAGTAAAACCCCAATCTTCTCAACGTTAGCTTCCATATTTATTAGACTAGGGAAAAGGAATTGAGTTTGTTTTAGACGCTATTTGTTGTGACCTAAGTGCAATTATTTGTGGCAATATATGGACTCCCATTAACTAAACGACAAGATATATCGGGTTCCTACTGACATGCTCGCATGCCATGTAAAGCAGAGCAAGACCTACTTTTACGAAACATGCCGATGGATTGAGCGCTTCAAATGCGTACAGTCATTCTTTATGTTGTATATACGATCTTAGAGGAGATGGGACATTTGAGCATGATTAAAGTTGCTCATTCTGGCATTATTACTAAAGATGCTTATAGATTATCATATTTTAAAAACTTGTAAAATATTTCTTAAATGAGAAAAGAAGAGAAGGTTGTGTTTATTTATTTAATGCTGATGCTGCGGAGTTCTTAGCATACATTACAATGTAGTATGAGCAGCTGAAGAAATATTTGTAAAACAATTATTTTAATATTTCCATATAATACTTTCGAATTATTTGATCACATAGATGGATAAGCACTCATTAGTTTAATACTGGCTATTAAGAAAGGATATTGTCTATTATATTATTTTAAAAGAGTAAATCTTAGCCAGCTATTTTCAATTGATCACATCATTCAATTTCATTCAATCACCTTTGCGGTTAGGCGGTTCATACATAAAAGGATGCAACTTTTGTAACTCCGAGCACATCACAACACTGTCTTTTAATGACTGTACGCATCTAGTCGAACTTGAACTTTAATTTGAGAAGTTCGCTAGGCGTCTCAAAGATTGAGCAACACGGTGTCAATCGCAATTTTCCATACACTTGGTCATTTTGACTTCAATCAAATAATATTTTTACACATATTTTTATACATACAAATTCGAGCGCGATAGAGTTAGCTCAGAGAAATCCTCTTCCATTGAATATACACAACAAGGTACTGAGTAACTGAGTCTCTGGAGGCCACAGGTTTCTGCAACACACATCATGTGTTAATAACAGGTTTTTTTTTAATACAAAGACAGCATAGGTCCGATAAGACGCATAAAATGTAAAAAATGAATTTCCTCGTCGTATTAGATTGATATTTATTTATGGCTTTAGGAAACGTCTTACTCTGAGGGTGTTTACCTCCTATATTGACTGCATAGTAATGCCAGTAAGTTAAATCAATTACTGTGTATTATGTCCGGAACCCATGCCTAATATGTAATGTTTTTTAAGAGGAAATACCGTCTGAGCCAACAGTCATCAAAATTTGAGTAAAAGCATGCTGTCTACATCTAAATGAAATATCTAAGAAAAGCTATTAAGATAATGCGGTTGTAAGGTCTACATAGTTACAAAACGGTCAAAAACGCCCCACTTAGATCTAACCCCCAACTTATAAATCATTCTTATTATAGCTAAGTTCATCGGGGCTGTCGTTACAGACTATTATGTCCAGAGTCAAAGGAAAAGAAGCGTCACCTTCAGGTGGAGAATATTTTTATAGAGATTTAGAATTTGGCGCCAGCTTTTTGTAAGCAGGCTTCCTAATCGTGATGCAAGACAACCAGATAGCTTAACGTTTTCAAATTTTTGGTGTCTCTAATATGTTTACATTGAATTTTCTACAAACCTTATAGAAACGAAAAATTTTTCTTTAGAAATTTTGGAACTTAACCTAACTATTTACTGAACTACCTATATTCACCAATGCTAATGGTTCGATATAAATAAAACTGGAATAAAATGGTTATAATGTCGAGATCCTAAAAAGTACTGACAAGAAAACGTTGGATGTTAAATCTGGCTTCTGAAATCACGCTGAAAGGGATAAAAATCCTTACGGGTAGGTGGCTCGTATTGAGCAAATATAATGTGAATTAAAATAAGGAAAGCAGATGCTAGAGGGTACCTTTTTCTATAGCCTAAAATACATATGTTAAAATAAAAAAATCTTAAAATAAGACGGAAAATATTAAGCTGATTTATGTAGGATAATTTATGTCTTAACATATAAAGGTAAAAGCATTTGAACACATTTCTTTTACTACACCTGTTAATCAAATCTTACTTTGTCGATTCTACGTTGGACAATGTGTGGAATAAATTACTGAGCCTCGATTAGTCAAAATGTATGGACATTTTTATTTAGACCTTTTGTAAGAAAGTAATTTTAAACGTAATGTCCCCGTCAACTGTTAACCATGTATAAATTTGAGGTGGGAAAACCGCCCTGACAAATCATCTAGCGCTCTTCTTAGTAGAGCAAGCATTAGAGGACAACCATTTGCGTAACATTATAAAGATGAGCATAAAACACGAAGTATAAGTGCTCATTTATCAATAAATTTTTATCGTTTGGATGCTCTTAGAGATAATCAGTTCCAGTTCTTTACTATACGAAATAATAAGTAGGTGCCCACTATAGACTCATCTATAGGTTTTTCTGTCATCCATAGGTTTTTCTGTCACAAAGGGGCCAGTTTCTAATTGTATTATGAAGTCTACTAGACCTGAGTACAATGCAGATAGAATGGCTTATTAATAAGTCA